CCAATGTAATCGCGTACGACGACAAATCCGTCGATGTGACGCAACTCTCCGATGATAAATCGCTTCAGAATCCCCTGACGACACCATATCGAGAATCTCTTCCAGCGCATGCGAGAAGGGATTTCGCTATGAGCTTATAGAAGAGCCGAGCACTCTAAGAACCTCGACTGATTAATTCACTGAACTTCAGATTTCTATGGTGGCCCATTGGCTCGAGGGGAAAACCAGAAGAAGCTCAGAAGTGGTGCTAGGCTAGTCGTTCATCTACGCCAACTCTGAAAAAATGACAAAACTGCAGATAAAAAGTGTACGTATCGATTTGGAAAATCGAAGCATTGGGAGAAATTCGAAGCCGAATGCCGAAATTCCACAGAATCGTCATTTTTCTCCTGTCGAGGGGCTAAGCAAACAATCCCTATCAAATCCTTGCTTGCCATTTCTTAAAAGTTGTCATGCGTGGATACGGCCTCAAAGGCAGCGGGCACGATGGCTGGGGCGGGCGGTTACTGCCAAAGTCATTGGTGAAGGGGCTGCGAGAAGGCGTTTCCACCACACCACACTCAGGCCTTCCACCAATGACGTTAACAGTGACCGTCCGCCCCCAACCATTGTGCCCACTGCCTTTAACGGTCAATCTTACTTGTGAGAGCTCTTAAGCTCATGCGATTTTGCATATGAAAGCAGAAAAGAGTCATGTACTGATTTTATAGTGAATCAAGTAGAATAGAATAGAAATAGAAAGGTTTCCTACCTATCCATCGTAAAGCAGAAGTCCGGATCAACGTGGAAAAAGCCATAAGTCAGGAACTCGAGTCCATACCATGGTTCGAACGCGAACCCATCCAGTATGGAAATTCCATCACTTAAAAAATTTACAAAAAGTAACCACGCATGAAAGGCCTCAAGAAAAACTAGGTAATAAGTTTCCATGAGCCCTAAATAAAGCGGCACTGTGATCAGATGTTTGCAAAAGTGCAAGGAAAACAAAGGGGAAACGTAATCAATGAAGTTCCTGAGATGTATGGTAGTTTTCCCGCCTTTTATTGAACCCACAGAAACTCTGATCTGGGAAAAACCCCCACCTCAAGCTTTATACCGAGTCTTTGCAACTGTCAGCAGCGGTGTCATATACTAGTTAGATATTAAACCTAATCACTTGAATTTCGCACCATCTCATAATGACTAATTAACTATTTGTCTGTAATTAGAGAGTGACCTGGTCAGGTAGGTCAAGAAAATTGGCGGGGTTTCACAAGTCCACCTGAGCGAGTCGTTCCAACAAGGTTCATTTTACTCTCGTCTTCTTCTCGACTCGGGTGGTCTTCAGCACAACTGAAGGGGCACGGGCTTCCCCATCTTCTTCAGCTGTCTTTGGGTCTTCTATTCGCTTTAGGTGGTCTCGCTTATGGTGGTGTCCCTCATTGTATCCTTTGGTCATTTTCTATGAACGTGTCATACTAGTTAGTATCTCCTTTCAGTAATTATCCCCCATAACAATGTTTCGTCTTATCTTACTCACTCTTCTGAGCAATGCGCTAGGTGAGTCCTTGAATGTTTTTCGCTGGGAAATCCTATTTGATTTGACGAGCGATTTCAGCCAAACCTTACCAACAAGTAGAGACTAACTTCTGTACGGATAAGGGCCTGGACTCTTCTCACAGGTGTGTGCAAAACTGTATAAGAGTTGGTTTTCTTTGAAAATGGTTTTTTTCAGGGATGCTCTTCAAATGTTACCATATGCAACCATCATGGAAAGGAGATGTGGTTGCTATGCCCATTTGATTTGATCTACGACGGATTCGATTGAGGAATGTAAAGACCAGAAGTTGGTTGCGGATTGCAACTCTGCGGCTTCAGACTCGCAGAGTATTGTTCCGCACGCCCAAGGTGAGCGCTTAAGTTATTCATTGCTCCTTCGTCACTTTTTGCGCCATTTTGTCGTCACAGTAGAGAATATTTTTCATAAAAGTCATTTCAGGACTTCCTGACAGTCTGTGCGAAGGGAAAGCCGACGGTTACCATTCTGCGACGGACTGTTCAACATCTGTGGTGCAATGTGTAGGAGGAGTGTCCAGGTGAGCAATTCTGGGAGGGAAGAAAATAGTCCTTTCTGAGAAACTGGGTAGTATCCCTGGGCAAAAATGGTGAAAAATGCTCTTGTCGAGCTCACTGTAGCGTAACAACCTGCGAAATCCCCTAGGCAGTCTAGGCTTCTTCCGAAATATCTACAGGGAATATGGTCTTAGGATGTCTGCTAACTGCGGCCTCCCTCCTTTTCCATATTTCCTCTTCCTCTGTTCCCTCCTTACTTTGATCCCTTCGATTGGACTTGGCTGGAGCATGAGGGCGAGAAAATAAGAGCACACTGACGTTCGGCAAACGCCTTGAAACACGGAAAATATGGGGGCTACGTGCATCCGATGGGCAACCCTCCAGCGCATAAACGCACGCTCTGAAACCGCGTATGGTGTTGAGTTGGGAGGTACTGAATGTTTCAAGGATACATGTTTCCAAGTATTGTGAGTAAGCTAGTACAGGTCACGCTACTCCTGCGAGAGGACGAGGACGAGTTCAGGAACACAAGCTGTTTGCAATAGCACCGAAAATTGCGCGCGAATTTAGATGTGTCTTCTCCTTGGTTGAACGGAGCTACGAGGTTTGGCCAGGAGCGAGCGACGCTAATTGCGCCTCTCACCTGGCTAGGAGCTGCCTGATGCTCGCACTCGCTGTTCCCACTCACTCAGTTCTACGCACTTGGCGTACTGTATACCGCCTGATTTCCTGAGCGCATAATTGAGTTACCGAGGCACATAGCGCCGGGTATCATATCCTCCGCTTGCTAAGGGGCCTCCAGTCTCGCTCGGTGGTGTCCAGAAAGGGGATGGCAATGTACGGAGAAAAAACTGCTTTTATGGGTACCGTTCAACTGGTTGTATTGAAGTACGTAGTTTGTATGCCCCTAACCCATTGTATCCTACTACTATGGATTCGAAGACTGTTTACTGTTTAGCATTGGTCTAATTCCGAACCGTTTTTCTGAAAGCGCTAAGTATCAAGAAGTGAGAGAACTGCCTTCCAACCAGCCTATTTACCAAATAGGCGAAAAACGGTCGTTAAAGTCGCGCAGCGAGATAGGTCCCTGGCTTAGCTGAGCCCTCAGTTTTCTCAACTACCGCAGTGCCTTCCTAGGGCTGATGAAGCAGATGGCTAGCAGTAACTGTTCATTTGATGTTCAGTTTGGATTTAAATCTTTCAGGCTGCTCGAATGTCCAAAAGACGAAGTCTTCGATAACGTCAAGCAGGGTTGCACTTCACCTGATGAAGTCGTAGCGTGCAGAGCTGCCGATGAACCCACCGAAAGTACGACATCCAGCTCTGGCCCAAAAACTGGTATGTTCTTTTACTGTGACCTTATTCTCGTCATAAATTAGTTATGCTTTAGACTGCGAGGGCTTGGCTGACGGGTTCTTCGAAAAGGAACCATGCTCGTCATTCTTCCTCACATGCTCAGGCGGAGTGTCAAGGATTCTGACGTGTCCAGCTAACCTTGTATTTGACCAAAAGTGGGTTTCTACGCCCTTTTGGGTCCCTGTCCCATAAAAAATATTGTGAGTTCGTCGTGTTAAGGCTGTCCATGTGCGAGTATCCTGGCAATGTTGAAAGCTGCAACTCACAGCCGGAAGAAGGCTCAGGTCAGAATTGCTCCAGTGGGTTCTTGTGACTGTCTGAGCCGCTTAGGAAATTGCTGAAATTGCAGGTGTTTCGAGCGTCTGCTCCAAGGATGGATACTTCTCCTATGGCAATTGCTCTGATGTATTCTACGCCTGTTCCAATGGTAACTTTTTTGAATGTACTCTGATATGATTACC